TTGCCATCCCCAGTGGTTATCTCCCTCCTAATTACGCAGATGTTGATGGCACAGGAACTTTACGCAGCACTTACAATTATGATGCGTACCTGACCACAGGTTCAAGAACCAGTGACTTTAAGTTTGTGACATCATACAATGACAACACGCTGCCTGCTGACCAGACTCTGAAGAAAAGTCCATCAGATTTTGCTGATGCTTTTGGAGATTCTTTGGAGACTCTGGAGGTAGGAGGACATGTTTTTGAACTAGGCTCATGTGTTCATGTCTTCCAGCCTTACTAATTCATATCAACTTTTTTCCACCATCAAATATCATATTAAATAACCAGTTTAATGGGGTAGTATGACACCAGGCAGATTAAAACTCCTAAACTGGGTTTGTGTTCTCTTAAAATCAAAAGAAAAATGTTAAGAGGACTATAAACTTTTCTGGAACATGCAGTTGTTTTTCCCTACGCTGTGTGGCTTCTGGCTGTATTATTTTATGCATAAGAACAATTAAATTTTAGTTTAAGATTATAGGATATGGTTTCTATAGAGATTATATTCCATCATTGATTAAATGTTAGGCATACTTATCTAAACACTTAACTGACTTTTCAGAGTTCCCTATGAACATCACACTGCTTGTTAAGTTGTCTTTTTAAGTTATTACTGAATGTAAATTGTATTCAGAATTGCTTCATATGCACCTGAGACATGAGATTTGGTTAACTTTAGAGTTTGGATTTTTCATGTGTTACAACTGCAGTCTGCTGACCAGACTCTGAGGAAAAGTCCATCAGAGTTTGTAAATTATTTGGTTAAGAACAAGATTTCCTAAAAGTAGGGCCCTGTTATGTTTTTGTGATTGATGACACATCTTTATTCTTCTCTATTGATCTGAACTCTCTGACTTTATACAACCATTTAGATGATCCTCTAGAATAGTGTTCTGGTATCATTTCATGGTGTTTATTAATTTGATGTTAATGTTTTGTTTATCCTCTCTGCTAAGGAAGTTAAGAGGTTATGGGACAAGTTTTTACTATGCATCTACATTAGAGTCTTATTTGCAAGAGCAGCTTTCAAATATATATGAGAGAAATCATTCTTAAATTACTGAATATTTGATGTTGCAACATGTGTTTTTATAGTATTGTATAATATTCACTTTTGTAACAGCAGGTTCATAAAAGTTCTGACCTCTGAGGGTACAATGAGTTGGGTCAAACTTGTGCCATTATCAGTGGTGTTACCTGACTTTGTGCGTCTCGGTTTTCACCCAAATGACTAATCACTGCAATGCAGATGAAGCTGAACTGTCAGTGCATTAGTTTTTCATACTTTTATGCTACAAACAATGCAACAATTCTATTTTTAAAATTATATTTTTCTCTATTCTGTAACTTCTAACTGAGAGAACAAATTAAAAACAACAGATGCATAATTCCAGTATCAGCATGCAATACTTTGAGAATGCACAGTCTTGTCTGGTGGTTGGAGAACTATAAGACAATGCAAACTGCTAAATAATATCATTTCAAAACACATGCTGAAAGTTAATCCCTGTTGGAATTCTCAATAGCAGCTTTTCCTTTTCTACTCAATAACCAACCCTGACATTCAGACCACTGAATAGCACTGGCGCTGTTAAATAATACTTTGATGTTGTGAAACTTTTAGTTTTTTATACATATAAACTGGTAAGTTATGATGTTACACCAAATTATTGCATAGGAAGGTTTTCATCATTAACAGCACAGGAAAAACAAACAAACAAACATACAAATGTCTTAACTCATTCCAGACCTGCAGATTTCACTATTTAATGCTTGGTGTTTTTACATTAGGTTATTACCAGACATTGAGTGAGACAACCTTTGTTTACTAAGAAAAGAAGATACTTTAGTTATTACATGATACAGGATCTAATCTCTCTTGGTAATTTAAGATTTACAAAAAATAAGGATGTATTTCTCTAACTTGTTGGTCTTTTTTTTTTTGAATACACATGGCAACAGCATTGGTTCATTCCTACCTGCTTGAATTTAGAAGTGGATTTAAGAGTTAATACCCTCACTAATCATGCACTTTATGCAAGATATTTGTTTCTCTAAGTTTTACCTTATTCCGATGGTGATAGTGGAAAGTCATTGTTCTTTGTCCAGATATTTTAGGTTGTTTGTTAAAGAAACTCAATGAAACAAGTTATATGGAACATCCTTGAGCTACTAAATTTGATTCTGCTGTATATTATCAAAGGGTATCGCTTATAATATTTGTTTTCGGCATTTTTGAATCAAATTTCTTATTTTTCTATATGCAAAAAGTGATGAAAAAAAAAGAAAAGAAAAATGCAGCATTGATTGAATAAGTGAAGCAGTTTACATTAGGGCAATATCTGTGGTTCCCTTTTATTGATTTCTCAGGAACTTATTTTATGTCTGATGTAGAAATTGATACTAGAGGTCTTCCTTGAAGTGTGCTTGAGAGATGGTCGATAATGAATATAGTATATTGCCACTATTCCTTAAGGTCTTTGATTTTGGCTCATGTGCACACAAGTTGCTTTCTATAGATTTAGTAACAGCCCTTGCAGATGGATTAGTATCGGTTTGAATTTGTAAGCAACTATAGCTTTTACTCGTCTTTTGCAGGATTACACATGGATTTGTTTTAAATTTGGTTTATTATTTCATTGAAAGGCGCACCACAGGTGGAAAAGAAAAAAAAAGTCTGTATGAATGACCAAATAACACCGAAGTCCCTAGATTGTCATTATTTATATTGATTAATAACGGCGTTATAACTCGAAGCTGGCCTCTTGTTTGGGTTTGCGGTGCTATAATTTAACGAAACTCTTGGTGTCACTGTGCACCAACAAAGACAGGGGGTCT